GGCGATAATCCGAATCTGTACTTCCGAAACGACGACGTAATCTTGTGCGTTTTGCCGCTCTTCCATATTTACTCGCTGAATTCCGTTCTCCTCTGCGGATTGCGCGCCGGCGCCACCATTCTGATTTTGCCTAAATTTGAGATCGCTTCTCTGCTTCAATTGGTACAGAAATACAGAGTGTCCATCGCGCCGGTGGTTCCGCCGATCGTTCTCGCCATCGCGAAGTCGCCGGACCTCGATAAATACGACCTTTCTTCCATCAGAGTTCTGAAATCCGGCGGCGCTCCGCTCGGGAAGGAGCTTGAAGATACCGTGAGAGCTAAGTTTCCGAAGGCAGTGCTCGGCCAGGTACCAGAAATTCCTAATACTAATATCTGATGATTAATATTTAATTGTTTAAGATTAATTACTTAATTATAATTAGGATTCTTTTTTTTTTTTTCTTTTCCTTTTTGATTCGTGATTAGTCAAATTTATTGATGTGGAGAAGACTACACTTACGACCAAATGGTCCCCAAGTCAGGGTCGAAGACAAATTTTTGCTCATAAAACAAATTAAAAATTTTGGTTAATTCAATATTTATTTATTTACATGAAAATGAAAATCTATTTTGGCTTACTCTTGCTTTGCAGGTTTCGTCCACCGATAAATCAAATGGTAACAAAAATTGTCAGTCTAAAGACTACCTAAAAAATTTCAATCTAACTTGAAAAAGTATTTCCAAATATCAAAATCGTTACTCTTTTCATTTAATATTACACCAAAAAGAACAAAAAAAGATAGAGATATATGAACTACTTCAACTATATTTTGGCTTCAAATTCTTACAAGCCACGTCACTTTTTTTTAGTTAGGAAACAGTCACTTTATATTTTGTACTGTATCATATGAATTTAGTATTTCAAGCCATGTATATATGAATTTGAAATTATTGATACAATATTTATTTAAAATAATACAAACATTTTAACATTAAAGATCAAAACAAGAATTTAACTAGAAATTTGAAGACCAAAACAAAATATTCAAAATTATAATAACATCAAATAAATCGAGTTTAATAGTTTAAAAATCGTAATAAATTTTAAGGCTAAATATATCAAATTATTCATAAATTTTAGGTAATTCTCAAAATTCCCACTAATGCATTTTCTCAATTTAGTCCACTTAGATATTTCACATAAAAGGAAATGGATTTTATAAATGGACAGATGGAATTTTTTGGTAGACAGCTAGATTTCATGTGTCGAAGTAATTAACACGTAAATTACATGTGTATAGAAGGAGCAATCTCATTGTTAACGACAAAAGCTCTGTAGTATTATCATGAGGTTTTTTTTTTTAATAAATAATTTACATAACATTTTAAAGACGTGGCATAATTTGAGTAGTTAATTACTCAGATTTCTGTAAAGTGAGAGGAAACGTTTTTGTTCTGGATTGGCAGGGATACGGAATGACAGAGGCCGGCCCGGTGCTAACCATGGGTTTGGCGTTTGCAAAAGAGCCGTTTCCGATGAAGCCAGGTGCCTGCGGCACCGTCGTCCGGAACGCCGAGATGAAGATCGTCGACACCGAGAACGGCGCCTCACTTCCCCGAAACACGCCGGGAGAGATCTGCATCAGAGGCGATCAAATCATGAAAGGCTATCTGAACAATCCGGAGGCGACGGTGGCCACCATAGACGCCGACGGATGGTTGCACACCGGCGACATCGGCTTCATCGACGACGACGACGAGCTTTTCATCGTCGATCGGTTGAAGGAATTGATCAAGTACAAGGGATTCCAAGTCGCGCCGGCGGAACTCGAGGCTCTGTTGCTCACTCATACGGTCATCACCGATGCCGCCGTTGTCCCGTGAGAACCGTTAACTCTCGTTTGATTCTTTTTAAAATCGACGGTGGTGATCGGTTTATTTATTTATTTTAATTATTTTATTATTATTATTTTTTTGTGTTGAATTTGCAGAATGAAAGATGAACAAGCTGGAGAGGTTCCGGTTGCGTTTGTGGTGAAATCGAAGAGTTCTGAAGTCACTGAAGATGAAATTAAACAATTTATATCAAAACAGGTACTTTTTTTTATTTTTTTCTTATTATTTTACTCAAAACTTTTTAAAAACTTATTTCAATGCCTGAAGTTTCTAGTCTGTTTTTATTTTAATCTCTCAAATTTTAAAAATAATTATTTTAATTATAGTCATTATTTTATCGTGAATGATTTAATGAATAAATGTAAATTGCTAATTCAGTCGGTGAAATTTCAAAGTTTAAGATCCTATTAAGTATTAAATAGAAAATTAAAATTATACAAAAAAAAAAGAAAATTAAAAGTTTAAATACATGTTCAACACTTAATTTATTTAGAAAAAAATTTGAAAATTTGAGACCGTTTTTAAAGCTTAAAAGATACAACTATGAAAGTTTAAAGTAAATTTTAATATAGCTTAACTGGTTAAAGTAAGTATATATATATATATATTAAAAATAGGAAAATTGTAGAGGGTAACAAGAATATTTTATGTATTTTAAAATATGTCACCTGTTTTTTTTATTTTTATATATAGCACAAATTTTCACTTATAGTAATAGTATATCAGATACTCATATTAATATTATATTAGACACTCATATCAATAGTATATCATATATATATTGCACAGACACTTGTATCAATAGTGTATCACATACATATTCCACAAACACTCATATCAGTGGTATATCAGATGTATATCACATATATATTACAAATATATCAGACACCCATATCAGTAGTATATATCAGATGTATATCACATACATAGTAAGATATATTACAGATGTATATCATTTGGATAAAATTATCATTTTAAAATTAGACCTCCGTTTTTTTTTTAAGTTCTGCATCTGGAAAAACTAAATGTGGTTGCTATTTTGCTAATTTTATTAAATGTTTTTGTCATATTTACAACTGTCCTAACAAATATTATGAAAGGAAAAAGTTACGAAAGTGTAAGACTAAATTTGTAGCTCAACCGTAAATAAATAACGTAKTTTTAAGATAATAATTGAAGGGTAAAAAGTAAACTTATTTTGAAGCGGTAGGTATTGAAATAAAATAAGTTTAAATAGTCCGCAATTTAAATAAAATAAATTAATTAGGTATAAATAAAATATAATTTTGGGAATTAAAGTGACGATTTTGTGAAACTAAAACGAGCAGGTGGTGTTCTACAAGAGAATCAACCGGGTGTTTTTCATTGACGCAATTCCCAAATCGCCCTCCGGCAAGATCTTGAGGAAGGAGTTGAGGGCAAAATTGGCAGATGTTTCTCCTAATTCTAAATAATTCCCTATTTCTCTCTCTGAAGTTTTTATTTTGCTCCATATAATGTACTCTACCTGTTTAAACCTCTTCAAATATCTCAATATATACTAAGAAAAGTTATAAGATCTAATTTCAACTTTACTCGAATGAGAATATACTAATATTACATTTTTGTGCTTTTAAAATTTAAGGAAAAATGGAATCAAATTATTGCAATCAAATTCTACCATTATAACTCCATTGGTGGCGGGACGAACAAACATGCCAACCCATTCATGACCTCTTACTTAAACTATCGAATTTGTTATCCATTAATCCAAATTCCATATTTGAGAAAATATAATGTTTTTGAGTTCAACCATCTCACACCTTTACTAAAGTTAAATTATTTTGTTATGAAAAAAAAAAAAAAGACTACATGATTAGAGACCATAAATTATATGAGATCTATGAGATATCCTTGAAAATAAAATTTCTCATTTAGAGAAAAAAATGAAATTGATTGATCGAGATTTTATTTAGGGATTTTATTTTTTAATTGATAGTATCCAAACCTGCTTGCAGGCACCTCGACTAATTTCACGAGATAACCCTCTGACCCTACTATATTAGGTTGTTTAGGTAACTCGTAGGATATTAAATTCTAAGTAGGTAACCATTATGGTTTGAATCCATTCCCTAATTAGCCTTTTGCTATTTATTCGGGGAATTTTATACAAGATTTTACCATGCATTAACTTATTTTCATCTTTCCTTGGGTAAAACCAGAGCGTTTAAGATGTATCATGTAATGTACTTTGTTAAAGTATCAAATGAGCGATAATGAATACATCATGACACGACTGAGGATCGAATAACATACTCGTACATTTCTCACGAACGCATTCACGAATGCATAATGTTCATTTTGAGGTTCAAATCTCACTTAAAAAGAGTATGAATGACCATGGTAAGATATGTTACAACAACAATCAGGTTATTTTTATGGTTTCAGTTTACCTCAGGGCTCAAAAACTCGCCTCCTCTGTCGTTGGTCGCCTCAAGAAATATCGTAAACTATTTGATATAACCTGTAAAATTCGAAGTAAATGCCAATCAATTACTACTGAGAGGATACAGTTTCAGAAACCAACAATATTGGATGTTCTAACCAGTAATCTGTATGTGTATTGTTTACTGACCTGCTGAAGAGGTTCGATGAGGGCTTTGCCCCTGTAGCTAACATGAAATTTAGCCTTAGCCAACAATCCCTACAGCCAGAATAAAGAAACTTGCAGTTACCACTGAAGTCAAATAACGAACGAAAATCTCATCAGTGCTGAAAATAGTCACCTCAGTGTCGAATTCTCCAGATTCAACTGCGACGTTTATGTCAGTGATGATCTTCACAAGATCCACCAATAATCCCGGTCGATCAGCGCTCTCCACATACAGTAAGCTGCAAAGGGAGAAGGAAAAAAAAATTGTTAGGTTTCATTCCCACTACACATATACAGGATCGGTGGAAGTTAACAAGTGAAGTTGTGAAAGTCATTCTCATTCTGCCAATGACTTTCTCTTTGTGCAAATAGATTCAGAGGTACCAGTCGAGCATTACCTACGGTCAGGACCATCATCTCGTATGGTTATGTGTGTAGCAATGTCCACATCAACCTGAGGAATTGCAACATACAACAAATCAGGCAAGGGAGCAAATGTCATTCTAATCGAGTAATGCCTGCGGAGGATTCACGACTCTGAAACAAAAGTATAATAGAACCATCCAGTAGCTGCGTATTTGATCACTTATAAAAAGTTAGAAAATGATGATATTTCTGGATATAAAATGTAGAAAATTGAAATGAATAGCTAGATCAAGTGATGCAACAAGCATCGAGAAACATAACAAACACTCGGCAAACTGGGGAAGTCCAACATTTGAGCCAATTGCAACCTTGTTAACTTGCTAATATGAGAAATTATGCAACAAGAGAGCCGAGGAGAGAACATGATGTCAGTATTTTCCCCCACAAATAGAAATATAACAAACAATATCATATGCGGCCGTGGATATTATGACTTAAAGGCTACACAGTATATGAATTAAAAAGCTCCGAGACCAGTTTTGAAATGAAAATTTATTTAAGACCTGTTGTTTCGGTGGCACAACTCCGAAGGCTGCTCCCAATGCTAACTGAGCACTAGATTCCTGAACGACCAACTTAAAATTTAGGAACTTAAAAAAGGTCTCTAGTAAATGGATATCCACCAGGTTTTTATCTTTATAACCAGGAAGGAATCTTGATCATACCGGATGATACTGAATCAAGTTGTTTATAATCGTCAAACGAATTGCCTCGAGCAACTCCGGATCATCTACCTTTCTTCCGGTATCTCTGCATATCAGCACAGCAGTCAAAAGTCAAGATCACAACAGAACGACTTTAAGTCCAATCTAATTGATGGAGCTGTAAAACAGTCAAATTTAGACAATACGATAAAATCGTTGATATACCCACGAAGAGTTTTAGCAAGTATTTATCATTTCTTAAGGCATTGCCACAGTTTCAAGGGAAGCCCAAAGTTGCCAACCAAGCAGCATAGCCATGTAAATAGTAACAATTGACAATAAGTATAAATAACTCTTATTTTTCTACTATAAATTATAGAAAATATCCAGAGTTCTAGTAACCTACTACTACAGTACTACTCTAATAACCTACAACTCAGTAATGTGAAGATAAGTAATGGATACTAAATCTATAGATATAAGAAGCACCAAAAATAGAAAGACAGAGAAGAAGGAAAGCAGAACTTCTGCTTCAACTTCAAATTCAGCATAGTAACTGCAGAACAAGAATGATTAAGATACTACAAGTCACTCGATACTTACGCTTTTGTAATGGAAAATCTGTTGTGTTTTCCAGAAGAATCCAAAAAGACATTAGCCTTGACAACATTCAGCCCCAGGTTCTTTAGAGCATTCATCTGTAACCAATGCACCGTTAATGGTGATTTCGACAATGAAACAAGACGACCCAAAAAATCCCTCCACCCTTTAGTATCGCAAATTAGTAAGAAGCTCCCAGGAATGGAATGTTAAAGATGACATTACAACTACAAAAAGATTAGCATTCTACCGTGTCGAGCAGGGCTCCAAGCCGATCGCCAAAGGTTATTTCCACGACGGTTGCATCTTGATCAGAGTCCTGGTCTATTATAACTATGGGCGTTGGAATTGTATCAGTATCACCGTTACTTCCATCCTGTTGTGCAACCACTCCCAAGAGAGGGAGAGGTCCAACAAAAATTAAGAACAAGAATGCAACAATTGCAACTCATATGTATCGATACCTTCAGTACCTCAACAGCTGTAGCTGATGATGCTCGTGGAATGCTCTTCATGTTGGAAGAAGATCTTCTGGTGTATAATCGAGAGCAGACTTATAAACATAACTTAGCATAAATGAAATGCCACCACAGAGCACGAAACTGAAGCTAGTTGTAAATAAATGAAGAATTCAAGATACATTTTTTCAAAGTGAAAGAAATCATAATAATAACTATTCATAACCTATTAAGTTAAGCCTTTCGATCCAATGATGATTTAAGATAGTACCAGAGCAAGATTTACTGAGTTCGAATCCAAGCTATGTAACTTTCTCCCCAATTGATTAATATCAATAATTCATATACTGGGCTTAGTGAATCAGATTAATATCCGACCCACGCACAGGGGAGCACTGAAACTACATACATAACCCATTAGTTAAGCTTAAAATCTAGTGGTGATTTAGCACAAACTTTTTAATCAACAGAGAATTATTGGGTCTTGTACACTTCTACTACCTAAACTAATAAAATAGAGAGAAATTCAGAAGTCTATTATAGCTCCAAACTTCCATATCATGAATGAGAGGTTCAAGCATTAATTAACAACCGAAATATCTTCAACGTAAGAGAATTATAAATCAACCCCTTATAGTTCAGTAATGCCAGATCAAACAATCGAAACTTGTACCTTCCTCTTTGAAGTAGGCAGAAACATTTGGCATGTAAAGCAAGGGAAGTTCTGGTCAAAACCCCACTTCCAACTCCACTTCCAAAACGGGTTTCAGAAGATTTGAGGCTCCAAGAACTGCAATTGGAGTGAAGCCCAGAGCTCCAAGAAGCCATAGGCACAGCCACAGTCATGGCGATGTCGAGCAGAAGGGCGAAAATCGCAAACCCAGAAGCAAAAATTCAAAGCAATGCGAATAAAAAACAGAAACTAGAGAGAAGGGAGTAAGATCAAAGAACCCAAATCAGAGAACATTCTGATTTCAGAATGCGAGAAATGGGTACTGAGTAAGGAGAAGATGAAGAGGAATACGACCCATCTGGACCCGATTGATCTCGAAATATCCGCCATTGGAGATGGATAGGTAGATGCCTCACTCAATTTATCCTATTTTCGTTCACAATTTCCTTTTGCCTTCGCGAAAAAGCTAAAACGAAAAAAAAAACGAAAAATCTTAAAACAGAGAGGGAAAAAAGGGGGCAAAAAAACAAAATTAATTTTGACGTCTCATCCACAACACTCCAATTCTACAAAATGAATTAATTTGCAATGATTTAATATTTTGAATTTTGTATTTTTATTCAGAAAAATCCACTTGGAATTGGGACCAGTGGGTCGCTTCGCTCGCACCTTCCAGCAATAGCGACGCGTTTGGTTCATAAAATTCGGATTATCTAATTTCCTTTTTTTCTTTCTCATATTTTCTTTTTTCCAATTCGTAAAATTTTGCTCTAGTAGACGGAATTTCTCACTTGAAGGGAAAAATAGGCTTGAGATATTTTATTCAATAGTTTAAAAATATCCTTCTCTTAATGTTTTGAAAGTCTTAATTTCTATTATTGATATATTAATTGGTACGTCAATATCAACATCAAGTAATCTCAACAATCAAATCAGGTATGTCACGTTAAAGTTGTGGAGATTATTTAAAATTTTCAATATTACATATATAAAAGGTACTTAGAGATTTTAAATTGAGATGAATTTCAAATTAATTTATTTATTTCCGAAGGGAAGTGAATTTTGTTTTTTGTTTTAAAAAATTTATAGACTAAAATAATAGTATTTTACTTGATTTTACATTATTTTAAAATAAATTAGTAATTTAACTCTATCATATCTTTAGATTATGGTGAATGCTATATAAGTAACTTTTTATTTTTTATTTTCATGTGAATATATAAAAAAAAAGTTCGTGACATTAATTTCTCATAAAAAAAATCATAATTTAAATTTATTTATAGGATGTCAAATTGCATGATTTATAACCATTTTTATACTTTCTTGATTTGAAACCGAACATAAATGATAAGAAATGTTATTAATAGAAGTCTGAGGTAACTTAAACGACAGAAGCAGAGGAAATGGTTAGCTTCAACTCAAATGGTTGTGGTACTTTGAGACCTTTTAAGGTTAAAAATTGACGCATGGAGCCAGGTACAATAATAGAAAGTAAAACTTCTTTCTTAATGTCTATTAACGGATCAACAGAAGTGGAGACTAGGTCGGCGCCGAGGTGTTCTCAACCAATGGTTGAGAACCCTCCTTTGGTTCTCCTCAACTTTTGTGCAGCCCGATTCAAACCTGCCATATCTCAACCCTCGATCCGACGTTAGGTCCAGAAGTTCGAATCTCCTTACGAGGATTCGACTTCTGTAAATCCTAAACGATTAGGAATCAACTTCTATAAATAGGGAAGTAAACAAAACCCTAAAGATCAGTCCCTACTATTTGCTACGCTTAAACACCTTGCTCTCCATACTTGACTACTCCGACTCTGATTTAGGCATCGGAGTCTGTGTGGCAAAAGCCACGTTAGGTCTTTAATGCTATTTTATTTTGCATGTCTCGTCTCTGGAAGATTAGTGCGAATTTGACGGAATTCTAAGAGACCAAATTTTTGCGTCAACAGTATTATATTTAATTTAGCTCATTAGCCTAAAACTTCAATTGATTAATGGCACCAATAACATCCCTTCAAGATCGACATCCCTTCGAGATTAGAGGTCAGAGGTTGAAATTCTCCCACCTCTAAATTAAAAATAAACGGAAAAGAAGAAGAAGAAGAAGCAAAGCAAAAGACAGCATGCGATGGGCTTGGACTTTGTAAGTGGGCTCCAATCTCCTTTTGTCGGCCATTGTATTAATTTGAGCTTGGGCTTGGCCCACGTTTAATCGATTAATGCATTAATATTCAGTTGTCCGATTAATTAATTAATTGTGCTCTATCTCTAACTATTCAATTGGCGTTTTACAATTTTGTTGCGGATGGAAATATAACAAATCCTTACATTTATTTAAATTACAACTGTCTGAAGAAAAAAAATGTTATACTAGATCTTTTTTTTTTTTCTTTTTTAATAAAGAAGTTATACTAAATGCAAGTCAACATATACTAATATCAATCCTTTCAACCAATTAAAGCATAGTTTAATAGATAAAGTAATCATTTCTCATTTCATTAATTTATCACTGAAACCAAGCATTAAACATTAGTTTGCTAAAACAAAATATAAGCCATTTGAGTATGTTTTTTGTTTTCTCACTTTAAAATATAAATCTATAAAGGTTACTTAGGTGCCTTTTTTGTGTACTTTTTTTAAGATACGATTTTGAAATTTTATCAAATTATTTGAAAATTTGGCTATTATTTAAAAATGATATTTTAAAGGAGATATAGTTTTTAGAAACAGAACAAATATATATATATATATATATATATATATATATATATATATATATATATGCACACATTCATTAAACTATGATTTAAAAAACTACAAGAAGCATAGGGTAGACATCTTTATTGGATGGTGACAAATTTCGATATTCTCTGTTGATTTTAACATAACTAACTTTCCTCTTAATTTTGCTTTAAGCAATGCACTTCTCTTAGTACATAATCCACTGGAAAATCCAGTAGTAAACTCCAAGACTTGGGAAGTTAATTCTTCCATTGTTGGCAACCCCAAAAACCTTGCAACTCAATTGTATTTATTTATATGTCTCATCCTAAATTCTCAGTTCAAAGTTCAAACACGTACTCAAAATGAAGAAACCATCATCATCTTCCTTAATTTTCCTTCTCCTGTTTGTGTTATTTTCTTGTCTTGGAATCTCAGTTGCAGATTCCAATAATGTCTTTGATACCTGTCCAACAGCCACAAACAAAAGTGAGTTCATCAATGGCTTCCCTTGCAAAAACCCCACCATTGTTACAACTTCTGACTTCAACTCAGCAAAGCTAACGGGTCCTGTCGATACCGATGATCAGTTTATCTCGTCGGTGAACATACTCACGGCTGCAGAATTTTCAGGTCTGAATACTCTAGGACTCTCCATTTCCAGAACTGACTTGGGCACGGACGCGATCGTTTCCCCTCACTCGCACCCGAGAGCCACCGAGATATTCTTTGTGAACCAAGGTACAACTTATTACTCGATGATGCTGTTTTTGTTAATTGTAACTCATTAATGTTAAGAATCCCACGTTGAAAAGAAAATGACCTAACAAGGATTTATAACGGACGTGAGCTACTCCTCTAATCTCTAATTGGTTTTAAGACGGAACTCGTGAATATTAATATAGTATCAGAGTCCAAAACGCTCAAACGAGCAACCGATCCAAAAATGAGATCCGATCAAGATCGATGACCCAAAAAGAGTCACGATCTTGAAGAGGTATATTAAGGATCCCACATTGAAATGAAAAAGAACCTAATAAGAATAGGGTTTATAATAAGTTTTTGGGTTTAGTGGTGATTTAAGAGTTTTCTTCTCCCTTTCGACGATTATGATTCACAGGCATCGTTTTGGCTGGATTTCTCGACACCAAGAATCGACTGTTCCAGAGCTTTCTAAAAGCGGGCGATGTGATGGTATTTCCAAAGGGGTTATTACATTTCTGTTTGAATTCTGGTTATGAGCCTGCCATCATTTTCTCTGTGTTTAACAGTCAAAATCCAGGAGTGGTTAACATCAATGGTGCCATGTTTGAGCCTGCTGATTCCAATCATTTGGTACATAAGTTCCTTGAGAGATTAAAATCTCTTTCTTCACTATCAAGTCTCAAATTCAACCCAAATGTAACTCTCACCACATACATAAGTTTGTAAGATTGGCTTCTGAGTTTGAAATCTTAACATTCTTGATTTAAGATGTAATAGATTATTTCTCGTGTCTCTTTGATTTGGTTGTCCTTCCTGTTGATATGTTTTTACAGTAATAAGATATGATCTAACGACAAATACATCCATTTGAAACTGGTAAAATTTTCATACTGTGATAAAATTCATTCGTATTTATTGAGGAAGAATATAATTCAGCTTAATCCACGTATACTTCACTACATCAGCAAAGCCATGCCTTTTCAATCTACTTCTGGGTGCTCTATAAACAAGCTGTATTTTTCCCTTTTGTATATTCAATCACATTCATTCTTCATTCAATCACATTCATTCTTCATTCAATCACTTTTATTACTTTTCCTTGTAAAGCTTTTTCCTTATGTCAGCTATCCTATATATATGTTAAGGAGCTGACCTTTGAAATCAAGCAAAAAGATACTTTCACATTGAACAACAATTATCTCTAAATTTTATCTGTATTGAACGTTGTTCATCAATATGTCATTAGAACTTTTGAACAATGTTACACACGTCGGTTTCGAATGCACCAAAGCGGCTTAATTGGTTTAGCTCCAATGCCTCTGTTCACCATTCTCTGTCTCCATTCAATTCATTCAAACGATCTATTGCCTCCGCGTACCTCTTATTTGACAATGAGGTCAAAAGTTTGAATCTCGGTTCCAACATTACACATAACCATATTATAATTTTCAAAAATAAAATAAATAAGTAGACACAACGATTAAAATTTAGAGACCTACTCGGATAATCTTTTTTAAATACATAGATTAAATAGACACAACTTTTACATTCCAATGATCAAACTTTTTCTTGGAATCAATAATTGTAGGAAGAGTGAGATCAAACCATCAATTTTTAGAATGACAATAAGGCATTATTCATTTGAACTATGTTCGAATTGACAATGATCAAACTTATAATTTAACCGGTGTAGATTTAGTTAGAAATTTTTATGGTTTGTATCTATTTAATTTTCAAAATATTAAAAGTATTAATTAACTTTCATTCTTTTTATTTTAATAAATTTATATCGTCAATCTCATTACTTAAATATTAACGTATCATGATTTTAGACTAACAAGGAATAATTAGCACAACATCACACGAAAACAGTAGATCAACTTAGGCCAACAAATTTGATGAGATGAACAAAAGAAATATATTTAACTTAAATTTTATGCGCAAAAAAAGTTACATGAATATTATTTCAAGATGTGAATGTCTTGTTACAATGTCTGTGATGTAAAACTTCCTAACCAGATCAACTTCTCTCTCAAACAACATTTGCCGTTTCCCTCTCTTTAGATTCTTTTCTTTGTGTTAAAAAATTGCAGGCCTTCGACTACAAGAGGTTTTGTTGTTTGTTTGGTTATAATTTGGAGCTATGTATCTAACATTGAATAATTTTGAAAATTAGGAATCGAACTCTATAATCTAAGTCAACTCGTGTAACATTTTTAATAATTTTATAGGAATATATTTATGGCATCTAGCTATTAATAAGATATGTCTTTATAGATAAAGCATCTATTAGAATGATGTTGAAGTCATTGGGGCTTAAAGACCCAAGGAGAATCAACCTCGAACACAACAAAACTAGACAAAATCAAAATCATCGACATAATTTATAAAGCAGTGGTCATCCACTTGTGTCACATTTCAACATATACAACTCAAGTTTTAAACTTAAAATAAAGTATTTTCTTTATAAAATGTGAAGAAAGAGAGAAGTATAGAAACTTAGGGAAGCCTGGAGGAGGATGAGGAGTAGCTGTGAGGCGTGGCAGTGGAAGTGTGGAGTTGAACTAAAGAGGCATAAAACCCATCTTTGATGGTGATAAGCCTTTCATGCCTACCTTTCTCCACAATGGTTCCGTTCTTAACCACCGCGATCAAGTCGGCGTTCATGATCGTAGACAGGCGGTGAGCCACCACCACCGTGGTTCTATTCACCATCACTCTGTCAAGCGCATCCTGGACCACTCGCTCCGACTCTGCATCCAGTGCGCTTGTGGCTTCATCCAGTAACAGGATCTTTGGGTTCTTTATGATGGCTCGTGCGATCGCCACTCGTTGCTTTTGCCCCCCCGATAACTGCACTCCCCTCTCCCCCACCTTCGTCTCGTATCCCTTTTGTAATCCACTTATGAACCTGTGCGCATTTGCCGACTCCGCCGCTCCTATTATTTCCCCCTCGCTCGCGCTCGCCTTTCCGTACGCTATGTTGGTTCTTATGGTCTCGTTGAAAAGCACCGGTTCTTGGCTCACCAGTCCCATTTGCTGCCTCAACCATTTCAGTTGTAACTTTTGGATTTCTACTCCGTCGATTGTTATGGTGCCCGAATCAGGATTGTAAAATCTTTGCAACAGAGCGATCACTGTGGATTTCCCACTCCCACTTTCTCCTACCAAAGCTATTGTCTGGAAGACAAACACCACATATCATATTATTAAAGATGAATAAATCACCGTTCAAACCAAAAGCTTAAACTGATGGGTTGGGTAAATTTAATTTATGAGTATCTCAACCCATATAATCAATCTATGAGTAACATAGATAATGCGAGTTTACGAACCTTGCCAGGACGAATGTGCAGGCTGAGGTCTCTGAATATTTCGATGTTCGGCCTAGAAGGATACTTGAAGCTTATATGTTTAAGCTCTATTTCTCCTTTCACATCGCCTAATACCGTTCCAGATTCGTCGCTGGGATCTATCTTTGATTCCCTGTCTATTATTGCAAATACGGATGCAGCAGCAGCCTTGGCTTTGGTAGTATCTTGAGTCATGGAGCTGGAGTGAGAAATTCCAGTAGCAGCCATCGTCAGGGCAAAGAACACCTGCATTTGTTTCCTCATATATTACATTAGAAATAAATTCAAATTACAATTCCAAGAAAGGAAAAGAGACGATGATTTTACTCGAAACACTTCGGCAAACGTCGTTCTACCGCTATCCACCAAACGAGCTCCCACGTAGAATGTGATGGCGTACACATTGAACAGTATGAAGAAAGACGCACCAAATCCAACTCCACTGATGAGTCCTTGTCTTATCCCTGCTTTCAGTGGAGCTTCACATTTACCTTTATACATTTGCATTACTTTGTCTTCGGCACAGAAAGAAGCAACTGTTCTTATGCCCCCCACTGCATCATTTGCAACTTGGCTTGCTTCCTCGTACATACTCTGCAGTACAAATAACCAATGGTGATTTAATGATACTAGTAATAATACAAGAGCCAATGTCAAATAAGTATTGATATTGAAAGCATACTTTGGCATCGCCGCTAAATCCCTTCATGAATTTGATCTGTATAAGCGAATTAATCCCGATGAGAGGAATGAGAGCGAGGACGATGAGAGCCAGTTCCCAACTGGCAACGAAAGCAATCACCAAACCTGCAACTGCAGATGCAATGTTGCCCACATTCTGAGAGAGCGAATCCCCGACTAAGGCTCTCACGGATGCTGCATCTGCCGATAGTCTCGCACCAATTGCACCACTAGAGTGATCACCCTCATCAAACCAACTCATCTCCATATGAACCACCTTCTCAAAACAAAGTGATCTGATGCGTTCGATTAATCTACATCCCGCTATCGAAAAGAAGTATGCTCGCCATGGATGTGCCACGAGCGAGGCCACGCCAAGCGCTATGTAAATGAGAGCCCAAAACTTGGTATCCTTCTTGAGTTGGTCAGGGGGTTGGTAAAATGTCTTAATCACAGTAGAAATTAGTAATCCAAAAATGGGAAGTATCACCCCACACACCACTGCACCAATAGTTCCGATGAGAAGCATAGGAATCTCTGGCTTGTTAAGTGCTGCAAGGCGGCTAAGAGAAACAGGAGGAGATTTTGATGCCTCTTCAGTCACGTCTTCGGCTTCTGCGTCACCGGCATCTAGGAAGTCGAGTCCAGTGGTTAAACCAAACACAGATAAAGAGCGTCGACTGCTGCGTCCAACCGATGATCCTCTACTCATGGATCTCAAGTAGCCCACCCTCTGGCTTGATTGTCTCATTGATTCCATAGAAAACTCTGTTCGATCTTCGGAGACACGTTCTGAGTCTTTGTTTGCTTCCTGCAGACGTATGAGTTGTGAATATGCACCATCTGGATCCATAATGAGTTTCGAGTGCGAACCTGCTCAAGTAAAATGTAAAATTAAACCAAGTGAATGACACAGAATTTCTTACCAAACCATGTATGAATGAAGAACATGGATCTACCTTTCTCAACCAGCTTCCCTCTGTGAATTACAGCAATCATATCAGCATTCCTAACTGTGCTCAAACGATGGGCAACAATCACAGTAGTTCTGTTGATCATAATCCTATCCAAAGCCTCTTGCACAACCCTCTCAGATTCAGCATCAAGTGCACTCGTAGCCTCATCTAGAAGTAGTATTCGAGGGTTCTTCAAAATTGCTCTTGCGATCGCAATCCTCTGCTTCTGCCCTCCAGACAGCTGAGTTCCATGCTCCCCCACCATAGTATCCAATCCCTACATCATCAATTCTATTTAATGTGTTCATATTCGCACACGATAGGATACATACACAACAGAACATATGCCAGAAATAGAACTAGAACTAGAACTAGAATTAGAACCTGAGGCAATTTGTCAATAAATTTAGAAGCATTTGCTAGTTCACATGCAGCTTTAATGTCCTCGTTGGTTGTATCATCCTTCCCATATGCAATATTATCTCTAATGGTGGCAGTGAAGAGTATTGGTTCTTGGCTTACGAGACCAATCTTTGCCCGAATCCATCTGAGCTGAAACTCTTTCAAGTTAATGCCATCGATGAGCACCTGGCCAGATTGTGGATCATAGAATCTCTCTATCAAACTGATCACTGTTGACTTGCCACTCCCGCTCTCCCCAACCAATGCAGCAGTAGTGCCACTGGGGATGTGAAGAGAGAAGCCACGGAATATGGGTTCATCAGGCCTGGTCGGATAATTGAAATACACATCCATCAGATCTATGTCTCCTCGAATATCATCTAAAGTTCTACCCTTTGGATCATAAACGTCAATGTTTGGCTTCCTTTCAATTGTCTCAAACATCTTGTAGGCAGCGGCTCGACCAGCAGCAAATGCACTCAAGCAAGGTGATATTTGTCCGAGGGACCTGTGTATGAAATCTCTTTCAGAAAATGTCATGTTCTACTGTTGTGAATAGCAGATAATTAAAATAATCACTTACATTGAGCCTGCCAAAACAGCTACGATGACGTTTATCACTTGACCCCCGTTATATCCTTTCTCCAGTATCATCTTTCCACCAAACCAAACAGCTAAAGAGTAAGTACAAAATACGATCATCATCACCATGCCCATGCCTATTCCGCCACCCAAACCTTCACTCACACCTGATTTATAAGCCTGTACCAGGAACTTGTTGTAACTACTTATAGCTTGCTTCTCACCTGTAAATGATGCAACCTAAAGACACAAAACCAATAGTTTTAAGGTTCATAAGTACAACTTCATCTTTCCAGTTCCAAATAGTAGAGACGAGACGAGATCGAGTCATATACCGACCGTTCTTATTGAGCCAATAGTCTGCTCAACAACATTTGCAGCATTGCTATAAGCACTTTGGCCACGAGCAGCCATTTGCGACATGAACCGAGCAATTGTCGCCCCAGCTAGCACAAGAAGTGGGATGGCAGATAACATTACCAGTGTGAGCAGCCAGCCTCTTAGGAAGGCTATTGTGAAGCCTCCAATAAATGTAGTAATTAGTTGGACGGTTTTCCCAACCTGCAGGACAATTTCCTGATGTTCAATCCTCAATTGGGAAAAAGGACTGGAGAATATAATGTATGAATATGATGATGGATGTATAATTGTGAAATGGAATACCTTCTCACCCATGGCATCTTGAATGAGGACAGTATCACCAGACATTCTACCCACAACCTCTCCAGTATTTGTTTCCTTGTCAAAGAAAGCAACATCTTGCCTCAATATGGTTTTCAGATACAACCCTCTAATCCGAGCAGCTTGTCTTTCCCCTGTCACTATCCAACTGGAAACCTCTGCAGAGTTCAATTCTCAGGTATTTTATTACTCTACTTTACTGCAAATATGGTTCTAGTACTAGTTTAGTATCTACTTACGAAGAAATGCAGCTGCAGCAGTTCCCAGGGACAAGTACACAAATTTTAGGCACACCTAAAATTCAGCAAAACAGTCAATGGAATATAATGGCAACATGGTTAATTAAGACAAAACTAAGAGTAGTATACCTTAGAGACTTGAGAAACCACGTCATGGTTCCCTTGGTTACTCCCAAAGCTGTTGATGAGTTCTCCAAAGAGCACTGTCATTAGAGGCATGCCCACTCCATTCCCCACGCCTCCAACTGTTCCAATTAACATGAGGATGAAATCGTATGAATCTGCGAATGAGAAGAGCTTGAGGAAAGGAATGGATTTGGGTTTCTCCTCTTCTTCTTTCTTCTTCTCTCCCACAGGTTTATGTTCCCCATTGAAGCTTGAATTGGTGGACGCCGATGGCGAAGAGTCCATATTCGTCTTCCACACCAGCCCATTTTCTGGGTCCTCTTCTCTCCCCATCTGCATCTGCCTCTGCTTCTGCCCTGTCTAATTCAAACTTAAATTAACACCTACACATCAATGCAAGCGAAACAGAATTGAGCCTTATTGATGAATTAAACGGGTATAAGAGATGATGAACATTAGAGATGGAAGTAGAAAAGGAGAGTTAGAATGAGAAAATGATACCATACCGTACCATACCTGAACTCGGATTTCTTATTTCTTATTGTGGCTGATGCCGGTGCATGGTTGACCGGTTGAATGAGCCCAAATGTAAGCTTTCATTTAGTCAACCTACAGCTGGGTTTTATCATGTTCCCGAATCTGCACATAAAAAAAATAAACGGTCGGTTTTTTTCTGTTTAGAACCATCGACCGACCGGTCGGGTTTTGAATATATCTTGTTGATACGAGCAAGCAACTACGACTTCTTAATTAATTATTTATTTAATTAATGTATTACATAATTAATAAAACGACGAACGTGATACAGAAGCAAGAGAGAAATGAGGAAGAAGTCGTTGAGAATTTAAAAATTAGTTTGTGGTTGTGTGATGCGTGCAGTGTAGGTGAGCAGTGAGAACAATCTTTGAATGTCCGTCTTCGTCGTTTGCGCCGCTCGCTTTTCGCTGCCTTCACCCACTAAAATTCAATTTCCCATAAAACCCCCCATTTGCATAAGCTTTTACTGTTGCTAGCCGCAGTTAATTAATTATTTCCTCTACTTTTAACCATTTTTTACAGACCATATATTTTGATAAAGTCTGGCCCCAACAACTTTTTCTTGACCTAGTCATCCTTTGACTTTCATTTTTTTGTTTTTTTCCAAATAAATATATATAGTAATCGGGTACGCCTGCAACATGGCCGCTACATTTTTCATTCTCTCTTCAATCGGTGAAAAAGAAACTGCCCTTCTAGAAAGATTCGTGACAGTGATGGTGACGGTGACGGTGACGGTTAAATTTTTAATGTGGTAATTCAATTCAACGTATAAAGAGTTGTGATTTTTAACATTACATAATGTCATCGATAAATAAATTTAATTCTAAAAGAGAAAGGGGGTTGAATTGAATGAGTAATGAGATGGACGAAAGCAATCTGATTGATGAGTGTACGACAACCAAATTTGTTATTTTGTAAGAGTTAATTACACTATATTTATTTTATATTATATGTGCCGTATTTTTGTCTTTTGTGGAAATATTCATCCAAGACTTTGTCATAATTAAGAGAGAAATAAAGTTGCTGATGTTAGAAATTTGGACATTAGAGATTCAATAAAAGCATTATTTTTTTACATATGGATTTAGGAGCAATTTAAAAAATTACTCAAACTATTTACTAATATTTTTGTAAATAGTTATCCAACTAAGTAAATACTTAAGTTAAAATAATATTAATTTTGTAGAATTATTATTTTACAATACTATATTTTATATATTTGTTAAAGTTTGTATTTTACATTTTAAAGTTTTAAATTAAAAATATAAAAATATTGTTTTAAAAATTATCAAAGAATTGGAAAACAATTTTAAAAAACAAATATGATAAACACGTTAACTGAATTTGTTTTTCTAATGACGTGTACATTTAGATTTTGGACATGTGGCCAACCTGTCTCACTAATTTATTACTAACTATTTTTCGAAAAAATTATTTGAATTTTAACGACTGATTGCAATGAAGATTAGCCTCCAGAAAAAAGTCCTTTGAGTAAGAGTCTCAATTAAATATTTTCTTACTTCATTTAATATATTTATCATTGATAAATAGTGTATCTTACTTCAACGTTGAATATTTTAGGGGCAACTTGAGATATGGCAAAAAAAAGTTAGGAAAATAAGCAAAATAGCAACAAGGTTTGGGTTTTTCAAATATAGCATTTTTTTGGCAAAAAAACGGAGGCCCACATTATAAATTACAAATATACCCTGCAGGTCCGAACCAACAATAAATTACTTCTGATGACTTCAGATATACTAATGGTTGACAGATATAACTTCTGATATATATGTGATATATGTTTGATATACATATGGTATGAAATTGATTTACTTCTTATATAACTATGATATCTACTACTATAGGTGACATAGAATTGATTGACTTCTGATATACTATTGATTTACTTATGATATAACTATGATTGACAGATATACTCTTGATATAAATGTGATATATATTTGATATGAAATTGATTTACTTCTGATATAACTATGATATATACTACTATAGGTGATATAGAACTGATTGACTTTTGATATACTATT